GTGAAATTGAAAACCACATCGTACGTGATATGGTTGGAAAATACTATTTCAAATACAAGCTAAACAACATTTGTGGTTTAGCTTATATTTGAAACAGTAGTTCAATTTGCAAATCATGTCACGTTCAATGTTGTTTTCAATTTCAACACTCCGCCAAACCATTCAACCGGACGAAGAGCGTGTCGTTGGTATCAACATAATGGCCCCGATCACACGGTGGCGACACCAAACGACACCAAACGACGCCATAATGATGGTTGCTAAGTAGAAGTATCAAAATTCTAAGTTTGTTTGACTTTCATACTTAACATGTAAAGCGACAACAAAGTAGACATTTTTCGTCTTAATAATAGAAATAAGATGAAACATAATTAAAATTTACATTGAACAAATAAAGAAGTTGGATTATATATTGTCTTCATTTAGAAATTACATGAATATAAGTTAGAAATTACATGAATAGAAGTTAGAAATTAGACGATAGCATGTTAGAATTTTGAGTCTAATATACTGCCATACAGGTGATGTCATATATACTCATAGTAGTACATACAGGTGATGTCATATATACCCCATATAGTACTACATACATGTGATTCAAGGAATTAAACTCAAATATGTGAAAAACCCATTAGGGCGGTAAATCAATTTAAGAAATCAGAACAGGATTTCCCAGTTAGGTCACTCGGTCTAACTGAATAGTTACTTGCGTGCAATAACCTTGAGAAAAAGGTACTTGCGGCCAAATTGTTGAGAGGAAGCTAAAGTCTCCCCCCCCCCTCCCACACTCTGCTGGGCCTGTTAGCCTAGTTCGATTCAAGAGGATGTGTTACGTATATAAACTGCCGACCAGAGTAGCTAACATATTTGTGATCCAACACAGAAATCAATTTTAAATTATATAAATACTGCTAGGTGTAATATGTGTGTGGGTGGACTTCATTAATGTGTAGGATTTTAACAAGTGTCACGAACGTCGATCGTGAAAGAGGGGTGTGGTAGGTATTCTTTAAGAAGAGGTGATTCATAATTTATGTAAACGACAAGGAAGCCCACTTCTGTAATCAGTGCACTTTAAAGCGCGTCAAGCCCATACTCAATATCATCCAGAATTTACGATATTAAAAACATGAATTATTGGTCCATTTGAATGTATATTGATCCATTCAGAATTATAGAGACGTTGTTATCTTATCGTGAAAATTTTAAAACAATGTGCTAATAAAAGGGCGTATGGCTGTATTTTGGGGAGCTTGAAATAGACAAAAATGGTTCTAAAAGCACATATTAATGTAATATGAATCTATGTACAGTGATTAATATACAATTTTTTGAACAAAATATTGTAATTTCTTCTCAATTACTTTTGTGTGTGTGTGTGTGTGGGGGGGGGGGGGGTAGCGCGTGTGCGTTGTATCATTTGTTCTGTCATTGAGTAAAATGGCGTGTTTTCGATTCCCCGGTTGTACGTGACGACAAGGAGTAGGGTCGCCTGTCTAACCTCGTGGGTTTCCTCCCTCTGCTAAAGACCCTACGCGCCAGTGAGTTATATAAATAAAATTGAACCATATGTTACTCCCAAAATGACCTAGTTTGTGTCGAGTGGACTTTAATTCGTGTTTTTAATTTTGAATATTATCGAAAATATTGAGTTAGAGACTTAGCTCCTTTAATATGAGCTAATCAAATTAAATTAGGCTAGTCATTACAAATTTGTATCTGTAATTTATTCAGTAACAATGGTAATTGTGCATAGAATGACCGGTAATGTCTTGTTGGTTTATAGTATTCAAGAAGCCCAGAAAGATAATGGCGGGCCATAGTATTCAGGCATTTAAACACAAGTATATATAGAGCTAGATTTAAAACGGTGGCCTACTATAACATCTTGTGGGTTTAAAGTATTCAAAAAGCTCAGAAAGATAATAACGGGCCATAGTATTCAGGCATTTAAACACAATTAGAGCTAGACCTATAAAGATAGCCTACTGTAGTATCTAAGACCAAAAAACTCACCTCGATTTATGATTTTCCTTGAAAATATCTTCTAAACTCATCAAAGACTACACGAAACTATAATGACACGTCTCGGGATGTCCAAATATACGCCAGATGCAGGTAAATCGTTTGAGGAAAAGTGAAAGAAACTACGTGTACAAGCAATTCACGGAAAAGGAGGGGCATAATAGATCAATAGATTACATTCAGATAAATAAAAATTTCGACACGCTTTATATTCAGAGCTGTGATTAATTCCTTTTTGGTTTTCTTTTCTTAAATACATGACAGAGATGCAGGTGTGTCTTTTAATGCAAAGGTTTTTTTTTTGTTGTTTTCTTTTTTTGGGGGGAGGGGGTCAAGAATTTTTTTAAAAAATATAAATAATGAAGTAAAAAATACAGTCTTCGTCTTATTATCTAACTTCATAAATATATGTATAGGAAAGTTTTCTCAAAATTCGCAGTCGCTATCTCAATTACAACTATTATAAAATAATAAAATATATTATTAGTTCATACGACTCTCCTTTATAAACAATAGCAATTGCTTCTACCGGAAGTAACTTGTAGTACTTTGCGATGTACAACATAATTCATCGTCCAATGACAGCTAATGCTAGGGTGCCCCATGTGCCGAAAATTTTCCCTACTAAAGTGGTACTCGACAAGGTGAATGTACACGCTTCAGGTTTGATTTTTGTCTTAATAATAAGTAATTACTCCACCAATCCTCAGGTCTGACATTCAACAATTCGTCGTGGCATGCTCCTAATCAACCGTCCAATCACGATTTGGGGCAATCTGACCCACTCCTCTTGCAGTGCCACGGCCAATTCTTGCAGTGTTGTCGGCTGACGTTGACGTCTCCCGATGAAATTAAACGTAACACACTAAAGCAAAGATACGCTAAACAGTAAAATCTTATGCAAGAACCCTTCCTTGAAGTGTCAAATTTGACAATGATCCCCTCCCACGTGTATGGCGCTTTTCTGTGTCGCACATGCAGGTCAGTGGTTCTGTTGGGGCGATAAGTTCTTCATCTGTGAACATACTCACAAAGCACATCAAGTGTCCATGACTATTTACCATGTCACAACCTGCATAGGTATTTGTATTTCAATATCCCCTACTTTTTTGAAGAGTATATACATATATATATTGTGGTGTAATTATCGAGCTATTTGGAGATATTTATATATGGTGGGGCACCCTACTACTGCAGGGTCAGTTATCCATATGCGGGAGGTTTAACATCTGGTGGTTACAACACGTCGGCTCGCCAAGGGCATCAGTATTTTCGTTTAGAATTCGTCATTTTCTTTGTTGACATATTCTTGGGATTTCTTTTTAGAATAGATGACCTATTACAAATATTTATCGGTAAATGTTAAGCCGTGGTCATAGTTTTTTCAAAAATGGATGTTCCAACCTCGTGGGTTTTCTCCGGGTCCTCCGGTTTCCCCCCACTGCTAAAGACCCCTACGTGCAAGCGAATTATTGAAATAAAATTGAACCATATGTTAGTCCCGATATGACCTAGTTTGTCGAGTGGACGTTAAACGATATGCCTATACATGCCAATGTATGTATATAAACTCCCGACCAGTGTAGCTAGCATATTTGTCAGCCGGCGCAGAAATCAATTTTAAATTGTATAAAAGCGGCTGGGTGGACTTCTTTAGTGTGCAGAATATTAACAAATGTCATCGACATCGATCGTGAAAGGGGGTGTGGTACGTGATGAATCATAATTTACATGAACGACCGGGTAACAGTGTACTTGAAACGATGGCCAACTATAGCATCTAACACCAATCAAATCAACTCAATTTACGAGATTAAAACCTCTTCAAAACCCATTAAAGACACACGACCCCATAAAGGCACGTCTCAGAGTGTCAAAATACGTCATATATGCAGGTATACGTCCTTTGCTGCAAAGTGAAAATAAATACACAAGCAGATAAATCTTACATAATGGGAAAACATAACGGATAATAGATCAAAAGAAGAGTTGTTAAATTAAGGTATGCAGATTAATAAACATTTCGACACACAACATATTAATAGTTCTGGTTAATCCCACAGGTAAGTCCTTTCAAGCAAACTGAAAGTAACTACGTGTCCAAGCAATTCACGGAAAACCTAATCGATAATAGATCAATAGAAAGGTTTTTAAAATAAGATACATGCAGATTACTAAGCATTTCGACACATTAAATATTTATAGCTCTGGTTAAACCCGTTTTGATTATATTAAATACATGACAGGTATACAGGTATGTCGTTTCATGTAAAGTGAAAGTAACTACGTGTACAAGCAACTCGCGGGAAAACTTCGGGAATAATAGATCAATAAACTTGTTTTCATAATAAGGGTACATGCAGATAAATAATCATTTCAACTCATTAAATATTTATAGCTCTGGTTAATTCCGTTTCAATTTTCTTAAATACACGACAGATATGCAGGTAAATCGTTTCATATGGAAAACCGAACAGCTTCTTATTCATAGTCCTTAATTCTTAGTTCTTCATTCATAGTCCTTAATTCTTAGTTCTTCATTCATAGTCCTTAATTCTTATTTCTTCATTTGTTGTCCTATTTCGACATTTGTACACTAAAATTAAAATTTGTATCTTAAAATCAATATTTGTTTTACAAATCAGACATTATCAGATTTGTAAAATGTATTTTTAATTTAATTGTATTTTAATATATAGTTAAAATTTATTTTCGAAAATATTGATTTTAAGGTACAAATGTTAACTTTAGTGTACAAATGTCGAAATACGACAACAAATGAAGAAATAAGAATTAAGGACTATGAATTAAGAACTAAGAATTAAGAACACCGAATAAAGAGCTGTTTGGTCTTCCATAGTTTCATGCAAAGTGAAAGTAACTACGTGTACAAACAATTCACGGGAAAACCTCAAGGATAATAGATCAATAAAATTGTTTTCCAGTTAAGTTACATACAGATAAATAAACATTTCGACACACTCAATATTTATAGTTCTGGTTAAACCCATTTTAATTTTATTTGTGCGAAGCGGTCCTCCTGCATATATAACTGGCTTATAATTTTACATTCTGAGTCGTTCATTTTTACAGCTGTGTTGACTTACCTGCTTTCAGATTTATTCAGGTGAGTTGTTTATCTTGAATAGTATAGTGGTCTACGCTATAAAGTCGGTATTTAATTGTATGTAATAGTTTCGCTGCTCATCAATACAATTATGACGTTTACTAAAGATCAGCCTAGATAAAAAGTAGCCTAAAAAATCTATAGAACACTTCCGTCTGGGTCAAAAATACAATCATGGGGATTGTTTTATTCGATTGATATGTGGGGTGATAATATAATATGGGTCTGTCTGTCTGTCCGTCCGTCCGTCCGTCCGTCTGGCTGTCTGTCCGTCACACTTTTTGGGACACAATAACTCTCTTTCTAGCATGTTCAAACTTGGCCGTGTAGGTGTTTATTAGGTCAATGCCTTGATGGAGTTCGAAGATGAGCATTTTCTGCTCAGGGTAAGCAGAGATAAGCAATTTGATTGGTTGATGCTTTGTGGACACGATAACTTTAGTTCTAATTAAACGAGAGTGCCGAACCTTGATGATAGTTTCATTACATCATTACCTTGACTAAGTTCGATAATGAGCATTTTCTGGTCAGGGTAAGCAGAGCGAAAAGCAATTTGATTGGCCGAGACTTTGAAACACGATAACTCACCGTCTAATTGAGCTAGAACGTTCAAACTTGGTGTAGGTGTTTATTACGTCAATGCCTGGATGGAGTTCGAAGATGAGCATTTTCTGCTTAGGGTAAGAAGAGAGGTAAGCAATTTGATTTGTTGATGTTTTGGGACACGATAACTTTAATTAAGTGACAGTGATGAAATTTGATGTATAGTTTTATTACATCAATACCGTTGACTAAGGTCGATAATGAGCATTTTCTGTTCAGGGTAAGCAGACCGATAAGCAATTTGATTGGTCGAGACTTTGGAACACAATAACTTCCATTCTAATTGAGCTAGAATGTTCACACTTGGCGTAGGCGTTCATTAGTTGAATGTCTTGATGGAGTTCGATGATAAACTTCGTCTGCGTATGGCAAGCAGAAATAAGCAATCTGATTGGTTGATGAAACTCCGAGTATAGAATCATTATATCATCACCTTGACTAAGTTTGATGATGAGAATTTTCTGCTTACGCTAAGGATCAATAAGCAATTTGATTGGTCAAGACTTTGGAACATAACAACTCTGCTTTTAATTGAGGTAGAATGTTTAAACTTGATGTTGATGTTCGTTAGGTGAAATGTCTTGACTGAGTTCAATGATTGATATTTCGAGCTAAAGCTAAACAGAGCTAAGCAATTTCATTGGTCGATGCTTTGGGTCAAGATAACTTTGATTCTATCTGATAGAGAGTGATGAAACTTAGTGTATAGTTGATAATCAGTTTGATTGCTTGTTACTTTTGAAAAAAAATAAATGTGCGATTAATTTATATGTGTCATCTATTTATTTTGGGAATTCGGCGGGGGACACCAGCCTCACTGTTGGCTCGTTTAAATTAGATTTGTATTTCAGGTATTGACAGCTAATGATTTAAGATGTTGATGTACCAATTGGTGATTTTGTGTCTTACGGTTTTAGCTAAAACTTACGGTGTTCTCTATAAAGGTAAAAGTTTTTAAATTGAGTGTGTGTGTGTGTGTGTGTGTGTGTGTGTTGGGAGGGTGTCGAGTGGTCTAACGCGTGATCCCTTTCTGCCATCGCCCCTGCCAAGACGTCTGTACACGTTTGCTTGTGGACACTCTACGGGCCACAAATTGTACCCGTAAAGTTTATATTCCAAAACATCTCGGATTAAATCGACTTGGGCACGTATCGGACCGGCTAAATCTATTTGTTAAGGCCAGCTCAATTGTCGTCAAGGTCGCCGAGATGTAAATAAGGTTAGGGCATGTGATTGTTGGCAAGATTTGTAGCTTAGGGTTAGGGTAAGCATTAGGGCTAGGTCCAGTGTTAGGGTTAGGGTTGAGATTAGAACTAGCCCTGTATACTTCACGTGACCTTTGACCAAACTAACCTATCGGACTGTAACCTTCTAAACGGTTGCTCTCGATTATACGAAAAATCACGCGTTTAGCTTGTGAGCCCACTAGAGTTATTCGATTTTAAGTACGGTCCAAATATATGTTCATTACACAACAATCGCAGATGAGTTCAAATTTCGTAAAATTCGGACTTACACTTCCCGCTAAAATGCCCCCCACCCCTTTCCGCAGACAGTACCAAAGCATTTAATACATATGTATAAACCAAGGTTGTGAACTCGAACCTGCCTTTTGAGCAAATGTGAAATATGTACAAAGTTTGTGGAACCTCCAAAGACCACATTATCTGTCCCATTCAGATGAAACTTAAGGGTCAATTGATCTTGGATGAGTTCGATTTTAGTCCGCATCATGTAAACCATCTAACCAAGTTATGCTACTACCATCTTAGGAACATCAGCAGCATCCGTCATGTTAACGACAGAATCCACAGCAACCCTTGTACGATCATTAATTTTATCAAAATTAGATTACTGTAACAGTCTTCTTACTGGCATTTCATCTGAATTATTACAAAAACTACAGAAGATACAAAATTCTGCAGCCAGATTAGTTTCCAAATCACCAAAACGTTCTAGTATATCTCCAGTACTAAATCCTCAGCATTGGTTACGCATAAGTGAATGGATAGAATTCAAAATTTTAACAGTTGCGTATCAGTGCCTTCATGGAAATATGCTCCTTCGTATTTAAAGGAACTTGCTAATCCCTACCAGTCACTGAAAAAGTTTGGTTTTAAATCATTTGAAGTTTCAGCGGCTGTGAAGTGGAATGCCCTCCCGTTAGCTTTAAAATCTGCTCCAACATTTCAAATCAGCATATCTTTTCAACATTTCATTAAATTTTCATGGACAACAAAATTTCGGCGGGCTTAATACAAAGCGAATAGCATAGATCGATGAAATATAATTTCACATATCTTTGTAAATACTGAACGGACTCATATTCCTTTTAGGGGATCACGTGGCTAAGTGGGTAAGACGCTAGCTCGCTAGCCTGGGGGTCGGGTGTTCGATCCCTGCATTGGCCGAGAAAGTTCATCCAGATTTTCCGGCGTGGTTCTCCCTTGTCAGTGATGCAGGACGGAGGGGCTGACAAGGAAAGCTGTCTAGTCGTTCGGATGGAACGAAAAACCGAGGTCCCGTGTACACATTGGCGTGCACGTAAAAGATCCCTTGGCAGTTGGAATTCGATATAAGAGTAGGCCGTAGTGCCGCTGTCCGGGCAAAATTTCCCTCATAGCACACTGTATGGCGTATGCCCGTCTTCATTAGCCCAGGTTAGGAGCAGAACAGTAGGACGTTAAACCCCATTTCATTTCATTTCATTTCATTTCCTTTTAGAGATTCCTGTCGAAGCCTATAACTACCATTCATAATTTCTATATTTCGCCTCTTCAAAACAAGAAAGTCGAAAAATCGAAAAGTAGAAGTTACGACAAAATGTGAGGCGACAACTCGCTATACAAGCCAAAATCAACTCGAAAATAGGAAATTAAGAAATAACACACAGAGATAATAGCGCCCCTCGTTTTTTTCCTTATTTCTTATTTTCGACTTGCATTTCCTATTTTTGCTTGTATAGCGTGTTGTCGCCTCACATTTTGTCGTAACTTCTACTTTTCGACTTTTCGACTTTCGCGTTTTGAAGAGGCGAAAAGTAGAAATTATGAATGGTAGTTATAGGCTTCCATAGATTCCCCTGTTACCATATTGTAGTTTGCTAAGTGATTCTTATAGCGCTAAATGACGGATCGGGACTCTAATAAAACACCATTTTTCATTGATTAGCCTATATCAAGGACAGACACCAAATCATGTATTGCACCGTGAAGATACAGGGCAGTACTGGGCTCGCCACTTTGTCACAAACACACCCCCTCCAACTTCATCCCAATTTCACCCCCCCCCCCCCAAAAAAAAAACAACAAAAAAACACACCCTTCGTTTCTCTGCTGGTTTACTTGTAGTCTACGATTTGCTTTGAGCGCCCCTGATTACTATAATTTAATGTATATTTTTATCATTTAGACCAGGATGAAGTACGGGTAGTTCTTGTTGGGAAAACCGGTGTTGGGAAGAGTTCCCTTGGTAATGCTCTGTTGAAAATGGAACTTTTTGAAGCACATGGTGGTTTTAAGTCTGTAACCGAAAAATCTACAAGGGCATCAGCCGAAGTTGATTTTCCTGGATTCGGTAAAAAGAACTTGGTGGTCGTAGATACACCCGGATTATTTTGTACCAAAAACGCAAATGATGTCACCGCTGAGGAGATCGGTCGGTGTGTTGAGATGTCGTTACCTGGTCCGCATGTCTTCATTTACGTCATCAGTGGCAGCGAAAGATTCACAGATGAGGACTTTAACACGTTTGTCCAGTTACAAGAAAGATTTGGTGGTGACGTCTTTCGTCACTTGGTCGTTGTTTTCACCAAAGAAAAACCATCTGAATTTACAGACGAATTGGAAGATATTCTCGAAAAGTGTGATAAACGGTATGCATATATCAACACGAAAACACCCCAAGGTCGTCCCACAAAGGAAGTAGACGAAATTTTGGAATTGATTTTGAAAACTGTTCAAATGAATCATGGTAAACACTACACAAGTTTTATGTATAAACAGGCCGCAAAGCGCAGGGAAGAGGAGAAGATAAGAAAGGCACAAATGGAAGAGCAGCAAAGAGAACTGGAATATGTACGTAGAAGAAATGCAGAAATAGAAGAGGCCAAGAGGTAACTTTATTATTGTTGTATTTATTGTTTTGATCTAATATATTATATATATGTTTATTATTTTTTTAAATTTATTATTTGTATATGTTTATTATTTTTTTAAATTCATTATTTGTATATTCTTATTTTATTAATTTATCATTTGTATTCTTCTTATTTTTATATATGATTTTATATTCCTACTATTTTGATTTAATATGTTATTTTTTTTATTAATTTATGATTTATATTATTAGTAATTGTTTATATTATTATTATCATTAATTTTTTTATATTATTATTAATTAATAATTAATATTCGTTTTGATATTTATCAATTATTTATATTTTTACTAGTTTCAAGCAAAACTCTTACATAAATAAAATATTTAAAGTATTGCCTGTCATTTATGTTTCGAATATTTTTCTTTCTTTGTTCTTTAGGCCTTCCAAATTGTCATCCTATGTTTTAATGGGGCTCGGTGGTGCTGGGGCCATGCTTACTGGAGGTATTCCAGGTATTGTAAGTGCAGCCGCAGGTTTGACAGGTTTGGCAGATTTTACAGGTTTGGTAGATTGGTGTAGTAAGTACATATACTAACACATCTAGAAATGGGCTGACTTGAAAGTTCCAGAATGTATTTGTATTCAACCAGTTAATCATAATGTAGTCAGGGCCATATTTTCCCAGAAAATATCAAATTTCTCACGGTGCTTATTTCGATTTGTAATAAGGTAGATACAATTCCCGGCATTTTCCATTCATCTGCTGAACCACTGGCTTTTTAGCATGCATATACATATACATTTGTAAAGCTGAAATGTGTCCTACAACTAAGTACAAGGACCTAACCAATATCTTTGGACCTATTAGTGAGTGTGGTAGTGATTATTAATTGAAATAGAGGCGATAGGATAAATTGTCGGAAGGGAGATAACTACTATAGATTTTAGTTTAGTTTATGACATGTTTTAAGCGTGCACTAAAACATTTTATGACAGATTTTAAGCACGCACTATATCATTTTATGATACATTTTAAGCACGCACTATATCATTTTATGATACATTTTAAGCATGCACTATAAGATTTTATGATAGGTTTTAAGCATGCACTATAACATTTTATGGCAGGTATTAAGCACGCACTATAACATATTATGATGGTGACATTTTAAGCATGCACTATAACATTTTATGATAGTGACAATTTATGATAGGTTTTAAGATAGGTTTTAAGCACGCGCTATAACATTTCATGCTAGGTTTTAAGATCGGTCTTAAGCACGCGCTATAACATTTTATGATAGGTTTTAAGCACACACTATAACATTTTATGGCATGTTTTAAGCATGCACTATAACATTTATACATGTGGTTACATGTTGTTTTATCTGTATTTATCGTCTTATAGTATTTTAATCTTTTGCCTGTTGTTTATTGCTTGCAGTGTCTGTGTAGTTTGCCGTGTCCGCAGGTTTGTCTATCGGTTCTGTCTTGCGTTTAGTGCGGATCTCAGCATATAGTATTATAATAATATATCTTATCTAGTATAAAATAACTATATATTTTGTTTTAGAGTTATGGGGAATGATATCCCAGTTATACAATCAATATTATTACAGACAAACTATTTGGATTGATTAAGAATTGTTTAAAATTGTTTAAAAGAAAATGTTATTAATTTATTAATTTACTACGTTTCGATTCATTTTTCAAACCATACAGTTAAAACATCAGTTTTTGTCACCACTTACTACCCGTCACTTGAAAATTGCTTTTGCCTTGATGTTATAATTTATAGAAATAACAATTCATATAGAAATATTTATTAAAGTGAATCAAGGATTATTTTGGGTTTGATTTTGTAGGGGCTTCACGGCAGAAAAATAAGGTTGTGTTTTAATGTCTATGAAATTTTTTTTTATATATACTCTTCCAAAAAAGTAGGGGATATTGAAAAATACCTATGCAGGTTGTGATATGATAAATAGTCATGGACACTTGACATGCTTTGAGAGTATGTTCACAGATGAAGAACTTATCGCCCTAACAGAACCACTGAGCTGCATGTGCGATACGCAATAGCGCCATACACGTGGGAGGGGTTCATTGTCAAATTTGATACTTCAAGGAAGGGTTGGTGAAAACTACCGCTTGCTGGTTTATACTATCCATGTTTACTTTCCTATCGGTTCTTGCATAAGATTTTCTGTTTAGCGTATCTTTGCTTTAGTGTGTTACTTTAATTTGATCGGAAGACGTGTTCGTCGCCGTCAACGTCAACCGACAACACGGCAAGAATTGGCCGTGGCACAGCAAGAAGAGTGGGTCAGATTGCCCCAAATCGTGATTGGACGGTTGATTAGGAGCATGCCACGACGAATAACTGAATGTCTGAGGATTGGTGGAGCAATTACTCATTATTAAGACAAAAATCAAAAACGTCCATTTTCACTTTTGACAATGTATCTCTTTGCAAGTGAAATGGGGCCGTCAGATAAGCCGCCCATATGAACTGTTTATGTTCATGTGTAGGCAATTCGCCTGTTATTAACATACACTGGTTACCTCTAATAGAAACAGCAGTGCATTTCCGCAGTTTGTATTGTTTCTGAATATCCCCTACTTTTGTTGAAGAGTATATATAGTCATAAAGTAATGGGTAATTGTAATTAATTACTTTTGATGTAATGGGTAATGGTAATTAATTGCATTACTAAAAATGAGAAAGTAATTGTAATGATTAAATTTAAAAAGTAATGTGATGGAAATGTAATTAATTACATTGGCAGTGTAATGGCCCCAGCCCTGCTTTGTTGACCAGAAATCATTTGTGTTATTTTGAGTTAACTCTGTAAATATTCTGTTAATTTTGACATGTGTTTATTAATAAAATACTTAATTGATAGTAACTTTGGTATTTAAAAATAAATGATGTTTCACCGATCCTACTGGAATTTGTCCTCATGTATCTAGCTCAATTCACCCAATATAGAGAGCTCCATGACAAATGCCGCGTGTACAAGTTTACGTGCACGTAAAGGAACCCTTTCTATTCGGAATTCAAGAAGGAACCCTTTTCAGTTGGAATTCAAAATAAGACTGCCAGACAGAATTCCCCCCATACACTCCATGGTTTATGCCCGTCTTCATTATCCCGGTTGGTGCAGAACAGTAGGGCGTTAAACTCTATTTCATTTGATTTCCCTGGCGAATGGACACTCGAGTTGAAAACACCCAGGAAATTCTGCACACAGCACCGCCATGATGGTCAAAGTGACTCAGTGATTAAGAGGTTGGCTCTCTAACCTGGAGGTCCCGTGTTCGATATCGGCGTTCATGGCCGAGAAAGTTCATCGGGATTTTCCGGTGTAGCTCCCCCTTGTTAATACCTGGCAAGGAATAACGTATAGTCATTCGGATGGAACAAAAAACAGCGGTCCCGTGTACACATTGACGTGAACGTGAAAGAACCCTTCATTAGCTCAGTCGGAGCAGAACAATAGGACGTTAAACCCCATTTCAATTCTATATTTTATATAAAACACCTATATTTTATATAAAACGTCCACTCGACACAAACTAGGTCATTTCGGGACTAACATGGTTTAATTTTATTTCAATAATTCGCTTGCGCGTAGGGGTCTTTAGCAGTGGGAGGACCCGGAGAAAACCCACGAGGTTAGACAGGCGACCCTACTCCTTGTCACGTAAAACCGGGGATTCGAAACCACGCCAGTTGATTCAATGACAGGCCTTATGATACAGCGCACACGTGCTAACCATTCGGGGGGGTTGGATGGCTGAATGGTTAGCGTGTGCGCGCTGTATCATAAAGTCTGTCATTGAGTCGACTGGCGTGGTTTCGAATCCCCGGTTGTACGTGGCAAGGAGTAGGGTCGCCTGTCCAACCTCGTGGGTTTTCTCCGGGTCCTCCGGTTTCCTCCCACTGCTAAAGACCCCTACGCGCAAGCGAATTATGTAAATAAAATTAAACCATATGTTAGTCCCGAAATGACCTAGTTTGTGTCGAGTGGACGTTAAACCCCATTTCTCTCTCTCTCTCTCTCTCTCTCTCTCTCTCTCGCTAACCATTCGGCCATCCAACCCCCCTGCTACAAAGAGACCACACTGATCCGCAGTGAATATTTGCTAGGCCGCTACAATCACTGATAAGGATTAATGAGCCAGAAATATTAACTTTTTTCCTGCGACAAATTAAATTCTAAAACATTTTTTTTTATGTATTGGAAAAATAAATAAAGGCGTTTGACGTATTTGTAGGTAAAAATTATTTCCTATTTAGTGTAAATGGGTATTAAAATGACTAAAATGCAGCATTCTCTCCGAAGCAGTAACGTCTTATGTAAACAATGCACGCGCCATTCACCAATTATTAACGCCGCGTGCTGTGACAGCACGTGTTAAGGCAGTCATCTTTGACAGAGATATATCACTAGACTCGTAATTCTCTGTGAAACAGATTGCAAAGAGACGTGGGCACCTTTAGTGTCGTAATTAGTGTGGAAAACAGTCTTGAAGCGCAATTTTCAACTTTATTGATCTAAATCAAATTGTGTAGATTTTCTTATTTTGTCAACGTTGTCCCACTATTCTGTATAACAAGTACGTGTATTAGTGGGTTTGGGTGGCCGAATAGTCATAAGGAAAAGAGTCACCTGACCAACCTCTTGGGTTTTCTCCAGGTCCTCCGGTTTCCTCCCACAAGTAAAGAAGCCATATGTTAGTCCCGAAATGATCTAGTTTGTATGTGTGGGTGTGCGAGTCTCTCTCTCTCTCTCTCTCAATGGATTAAACATGATCACCATTCACTAATTAAATTTAACAATGGATAATCGAAATTTGTTTTTTTCTCACAATGGTGGCAATGAAAACATCCACCATTCATATCCTCGCTCAGATTAAGGTATATTCAATATATTTCTTTTTTATTAATAACAATACAGTGTAAAATATATTTTATACAAACATATACATTATAATCTACAGTATTTACATAAATTATATAAAATAATGTTATTTACATTTAGGGGTCATGGTGGGTAAGACACTGGCTCGCTAGCCTGGAGGTCGGGTGTTCGATCCCTGCATTGGCCGAGAAAGTTCATCCAGATTTTCCGGCGTGGTTCGATCCCTCTTGTCAGTGATGCAGGGCGGAGGGCCTGACAAGGACAGCTGTCTAGTCGTTCGGATGGGACGTAAAACCGAGGTCCCGTGTACACATTGGCGTGCACGTAAAAGATCCCTTGACAGTTGGAATTTGATATAACAGTAGGCGTAGTGCCGCTGTCCGGCCAAAATGTTCCCCATAGTACACTGTATGGGATATGCCCGTCTTCATTAGCCTAGCCCAGAGCAGAACAGTAAGACGTTAAACCCCATTTCATTTCATTTATATACATTTCAAATATTTTTTATACAATTGTACATTATTGTATACAGTTTTATTTAATGTCAAATAGATTCTATACAAATATAAATAATACCGTTTATTTTAATGAAAACAAATCAACACTTTTAATGAGACAAAGTAATCAATTTCTAAAACAAATAAATCAACTATCTTAAAATTAACAAAAATTTATATATTTTTCAATTCATCCTTCCATGATGGTAGGTGTTTCTCTGGGACTAACAAAGCAATATCTTCTGCTACCGATACTGGGTAGCTTCCCTTTATCGACGATTTTCCGCATTGGAGACTCGAGACATCTTCCAGGGGGTTTCTCCCGTGGAGACAGTGGAGTCAAAGGTCGCTTGATATTTGCCAGACTGTTGAACTCGAATGAGGTCCTTGGGGTCCGTGGAGAAAGGATCTCTTTAGGCGAGTCTAGAGAATTTTCGTTGGTTATTGTATAGAGCTCACTGTGTTTTCGTCGAAGGTAGACTGGAGTTGCGGATATCCTCATGGGCGTTGCCGGCTGTCGTGGAGAATTTATGTAACCGTCCATTTGTGATCGAAATAACATGCCACTTAATCTGGAGTTATCTTCCCGTGGCGTCATCAAGGCGCCATTTACGATCGGGGTATGAATGCGGCCCTCACTTAAAAGTCTCACCAAGGAGGCATTATTTCTGACCATTGTTACGTCTGCTTTTCCTTCATTGACCAACACAGAACAGCATTCAGATAACCTAAGTTTTACAGCCAAGTCCAGTGCCGTTAAGTTCTGCCTATTTCGCATATTAATGTCAACTTTGGATTTGGTGTTTGAATGGTTAGCGATTATACGAATTGCCGTGGAATTTCCCGCGATAACTGCATGCATTAAAGCCGAATAGCCTTCGTTATCTACCAAATTAGGATCGCAGTCTTTACATCGCACAAGCAAACGTACACTCTCTACCTTCTCTTCTTCCATACATGCATACATCAATGCCGTGCGTCCGTCGCCATCTTTAGCGTTGACGTCACATCCGTGTCGAATCAATAAACGAACACAGTGGGCACGTATTTCGTCCCTGTTACTGAAAACTGCTTGAATTAATGGTGTCCTCTGGGTAGCATCACGGCAATCCACGTTAGTAAGCGTAGAGAGGATAGAGCTAAGTCTGTGGACCTTGCCATAAGCAATGGCCAGAAATAAATGTCGAGCATCTTCACTTTCAGCCATCTTTAGGCTAATATCAAGCAATTACCATTTCATCTATCTACAACAGATAAAATACCGTATGATTAACCAAGAACAAACAAGATGGTGTTGTTGTTGTATATATTATATACATTTGGGTTGAAATAAGCATTGGCACATGCAGCGAAAATAAATTACTTAAAGTCGCTGATCGTAATTAGGCCTATAGCATTTATCGGACAATGTCTAGTATTTCATAGCTTAGTTCTAATCCACGCTAACATGTTCTCAGACTGATTTTTAAATATTTGTTTGAGAACAAAAAAATCAAAATATCAACGTTAGAAATCTCCCGTCTTTGATTCAATCGGATTGAAAAGATGTCCAATAAAAAAATTTCATCGAAAATTATTGGTGACGCTAGCTGGATGGGTTTGACAATATCCTATGTAACGTCAGCAGTGAATAGTATGGAAACCGATAAGCTCCTCATTGCCTTCGCGTTTGGAGTGGGACTTATCGGCTTCCATACCTGACGAATTGATAAATACTAATAAAGGCATAAATTCGCATTTGTACAGAGTTTGTGTTACTTTTCGTAACATGTGGGGGTTTGGGTACTGGTTTTGTAATAATTCAAGATACTTTCAATAGTTTACAGAAATAATAACAAAATTCAAAAATTTCCAACGTGTTGGGATTTGTCAGTAGATATAGATTATGATGAGGCACTGGGATAAAAAAAAAAGCTTGACATGCCCGGAACACATAGGAATACAATTACTGGATGACGTTGACTAGTCTTTATCAAGCAACGATTCTAGAGAATCCTAGTAAACATGAAGGGCGACTTCAGTTTCAGAATGAACATACGGCGTTATTTGCGGACATTTCGCTCGAGTGGAACTTCGTTAGTTGCGGACATTTCGCTCTAGTGGAACCCAAACAACTTTTACCCACCGCCCCCCCCCCCGAAGTTACTGTTTCGCCATTGACAAGCACTGTTCATTCAGACATTTTTGGAGGGTAATTCAAACTGAAGATGTTTAATTACCAGTGATAGAGAGTGTCGGATGTTTCTCTATTGCAACACACAACAATCTGTCTGACCAAAGTGAGTCCGTAAAAATAAGACCAAAAATGACACGGATTCAAACAAAATCGCACATCAGACATGAGGGAATGGCCAATATCATCAGTATTATATATACTGTACACAAAATGAGTATATTATTCCAGTTAACTTGCCTGTTGGATCTGTGTTGTCAATCACCATTAGATGGATATCTTATACACGGTAGATATTGACCACTTCATGGTTTGGTTTGTTATAACTTACTAAACAAAATATCAA